TATCAAATACACTATTGGCTTTAAATGTGATAAAATTGTAAATTTTAAAGCTATTTAAAACTTTGACAAGACATAATGATTAATAAATTAAAAAAAAAACGAATGATATAAAATTTGGGTTACGGTCTATATTAATTTGATATTTTATCGCATGGAATTTTGTCTTCTGTAGGCTCCTCCAATAAAAGACTTCAGAAAAGATTGAACCATACTCCATTAAAAATTAGAAGTTCTTTGGTACAGCCGATGTTGAATAGGAAGTCACTTAAGGAACAATCAAAAGACGAATATGAACCTTTTGATATTCAGGTAAATTGTGATTTAATTTTAATTTGTCTTAAATGAGACTTGTTTAAGCTTCGATGTTGAATTTACAATATTTCTGCTTTAATCTGTCGTGTGATTGTGAAAATCTTTCATAACTGTAAAGTGTAATTGAATATTTCCTAAAAGTATCGAAAAAAAAAAGATAACGTTTTCACCTCAAAAAATACCTTTAAAGTTGTTAAATTTGTATTGTAAAATCGGTGACAGTCAACTGTTTCAACAAGCAATATTTCACAAAATTAGTTTACATGTCATATCAAGCGCGTTGGTTATTTTTATTGGGATCAGCTTTTCATTTTAGTTCAGCTATAGCCTATCGATTTTTACTATGTTTACGTTTCGGAAAATGGAATTGGAGAACAGAGTTCGAATTTCGGTATAGACTGTTAGTGTTCACTTCGCATTAATTCTGTTGGAAAGGGCATGAACGTATTTATGAACTTTGTCCTATTTAATAAATTTTCTACTAGCATCTCACGATATCTGACGAAGAGACTAAATGAGAGACCATCTGGTCAAACTACCTTACTATACATCATATATATATATATATATATATATATATATATATATATATATATATATATATATATATATAGTAGCCGAAGTACCGGGCGTTCCCCATGTGTGCATAGCTGCAATTTGTACAACCGCATCGTCTGTATACCTGTAACCCCTCTGTCTAGAAATATCTACCTGCATCCCCGCTTGTATTCATCATTCGTTGGTATACTAAGCTAGTCCCCTGCCTCATCTTTTTTACGGTATGTCCTTCGCAAGTATTTGATTTGATTGTTCTTAGAGGAATTCCGTCGCTAAAACCTTCTTTTTTGTGGTACACGTTCGAGGTTAAATTGGTTCAATGTTTTAGATATTCAGTAGATTTCCTATGGACGTAATAACTTTCAAATAGTATGGCATTATTCACAAATCTAATAATCAAACTAAAACACAGGGATGAAGTGTCAGAGCTTGATTCAACTGCAAGTGCAAACGCATGAACATCCCCCTCCTCCTTCCCATGTTTACTGTAAAGCTGGGGTTAAAATGAGGTTCTGCGGGAAAATTCCCTTTTAACGTTTTAATAATCCTTTTTCAAACAATCTTTGCATCAAAGGTTATTCGAATGCCAATTTAGGATGGAATCACATGAAGAAACTATTGGCTAAATGGCAAAAGCCGATTTTGGACCTAGTTTGTCGTAGATGTCGTCCACTTAACTGAAATAATCTAAACCAAACATTCACGCAAGACAATTTGTATTTTATGTGTAATTTACATGGCAAATTTGGAAGGCATCGGATGGGAAACCAGAGAGGTATGGCCGAAAAACGGACTTTTTAACAGGTTTTTGTAGTTTTTCGTTATACGCGTGGAAGCGAACAGGACTAAAACCACGCTGTGTTATTTCTTGCATGATGGTAAATTTTTTATGACATTTTGAAGAAAATCGGATAAAAAAATGAGGAAGTTATTCAAGTTTTTATTTAAGTAGTACGAAAAACCCGACTTTTTCAGAGTTTTTGCAATTTTTTGTGTCAAGCCAATGTTGCAGGAAAACTATCAAGCACTCTACATAAAACTCGTAACATGAGTTGTGTTTTGCATTAAGTGCAAAGAACATCAGCTCATCCAGTAAAAATTTTGTTCGCGTCTAACTTTGTCTTGGTTTTTGCAAAAAGTCGTATTCACCATCATTGTATTGATTTTTCTGCCAAACCCGTAGGGAGTGACTGGAGATTGAAAAGTTGGTCTTGACCTATCTTAGTAAATGTTATGGGGTCCATCCCTTTTTCATACAAGTGGACTCGCCCAGTGTGTACTTGTACTAATGTCGGTGAATGCCCGGGAGAGAGAGTGAGTAACAGAGATACACTGATACAGTGATAGAGTAAAAGTGTGAGGTAACCGCTTTGTAGGAGTCACAGTTGCGAGCACGTAGACTCAGAAGGAAGTCACACTTCGATACTGAATTTCCCAGACTATATATATATTATTATTGCCACTAACCGCATTTCTGGATCTACCAACCGTATTACCAATTGTATTATTACGTCAATACATTTATTTGCTATATTTCATTCCTGCGTTTGTCATTCATTTTGAGACCGAATTTCATCCCGGAATCCACAACAGTAAATTTTCAGTATCGCTGTACAATTTCATCGAGAAATGTGGACGTGCATAAATAGCATACACACACACATAGACAAACGCACACGCACACGCACACACACACACACACACACATATCTTCTGTTTTATAGATATAGATAAGTTTCTTTAAAATGGACAAACAATGTAATTCTGTTATGTTTTTTAATGTATCTTTCATGTATGCAAAGTAACTATTTCAGTGTTTTCGGTTAACCTGTTAGGCACTTTCAAGGATTTTTGCAGTAAATAGTGCATAAGTTGTTGAAAGTTAGCAGGAACAAACAACCATTTGGACAATATCTTTAAATACTAAGCCTGAAAAAAGAGATCTTTTCTACAAATAAAAGAAAAGAAATATGAAACATGCCCAAATACAGAACTAACGACAGGCACAATTGTTTTTGTTCAACGTCCACAGAGCCAACCTGATGATTATACTACAACTATGTTGGACGAACCTTAGTTGCAGTTTTTGGGAAACGGCGCATAATCTGGCGTGATCAATAGTTTTGAACAAGACCAGTTATGCTCAAACCCTCGGTCACGATGACCTGCAACGTCTTGCTAGCATCTTCGCAGTTTCACTTACAAGGTTTGGATCAGCTCTTAATAGGGTTTTCAAATCCTTGCCAATGGTGCCGCGCGCTGGGATCAATGGCTGATAACATCAAGACGTCCCCCTTCCTGACAAATCGGTCATGGTAAAATTTGAATCTAAAAGCGAATGTTCTAACAAAGCGACCATTTTACATACCTCTCTCTCTCTCTCTGTGTGTGTGTGTGTGTGTGTGTGTATTTATGTATGTCCTATGAAATGTTTTAAATCCAGTTCTTTATAAGGGACGTGATGATCGAGTTTAATGCCCGAGAGTTTGTAAGCTACACGAAACTTAATACAGGGGGCAGCAGAAATACATCACACATAATGGTAAGAAATTATTGGCAATGGTGTCTTCATCTATCTAATGTCTTACCATTATGTGGGAGGTATTTCGTCGCACCATCTATAAGTAAGAACAGGAAATCGGATAATAGAAATTGAAAAATACGGAAGTAAAACAATTTCATGGATATTTCACAAGACAAATTGGACGAAAAACAAATAAATTGACATGGACACAGCTACGATGGAGAGATCTAATAAGAGAAATCCGAATCTCTTCACAGCGACCGAAAACAATGCCATAAGGGCCAACTAGATAATGACAAATAGAACACATGATAACAACAAATATAGATCCTGTGAAAATAAAGATGAGACAACCAACCATATAATAAACGAATGTAGCAAATTAACCAAGGAAGAATACAAGAATAAGTTAATCGCGTTAATACGAAGATTCTGAGAAAAGTATATTAAATTCGAAATCTTTTTCCATGTCATTCTAATCTCAACAATAACAGTCCGATATCTATATACGTAAGCTATATTTCATCGCATGAAAGATAAAACAGCAAACGAAGAGAGTGTGAAAGACAAGAGAATCAACCAGGAAGTAACAAAAATTTCTTACATTGCATCTCACAATTCAAACTTTCTAACAATTGCCGCCATTTTTATGGCAGGGGTACACTTTTCTTTTTTTTTATGAAAATTAAACTCTATCATTTGACATCCGAATTCTGACTTAATTCCAAACTTAAACCTCTTTCTTTTGCAGGACACGTCAATAGATGAAAACTACAACGTGATTCTCAAAACGAATTTATTTGGAACTTTTACATCAGTCATTTCGTTCGTTACTCCAAAAATATTAGATTTTGAAAAGATCTTCGTCGACTTTGAGAAAAAAGTTTTGAATAATTCTTACGTTCTCATTGTTCTTCTGCTGATATTTTTCGTGTATTGCATCTTGGCGCTTATGGTCAGACGACTGGACAAGAAAGACCAGATCTGTGTGAGTAAGGATTTAAACTTCGCTATTTATTTATCGAAAGCTGTCTATCGCGCATTATACACACACACACACACACACACACACACACACACATATATATATATATATATATATATGAAAAATATAGTGTTAAGTTATGTCATATTTATGGGTTAAAGTGTTCAATATCAAGGATACGGCGTATGTAAGTATAAAAGTGGGCATTGATGTCAACACCCAGCGGCGATAATCTGTTTCATGTTAAAGGCAATCGTCAGTCACATTTCCACTTTATATATATATATATCGAGAGATAGGGAGAGAGACTCTGCCGACTTTTTAGGTTTCAAAAACATGCTCTGCCCTCGTCTTTAATGCCACCTTGAGACTAACTGAACATTCCACATTCAAAACAAGGAACAGTACCCTTTGCGAAGGCTGCAGAAATGGTAGAGAGTTCGACAGATGAACAATTTTGTTGACTGTTCCCCCAAGGCCTTCTCTCCTACTAATCTTATAATAGGCGGAAGAGTCCAACATAGACTCTTTAGAGGGAGGAAACCACAACACATAGAATAGCGAGTTGTGTTGTTATTGTATTACTACTTCTTCATGCTACAACAAACAGACCAACACATCAAGATGATCCCAGTGGCAAAGCTGTTTAATCAAACACAATTAAACTGATCGAGTTCGTTTTATAGCAAGTACCTCAAACACGCGGCCTGTGAGGAGCATACAAACCGCGAACTATCTTTCTGCAGCCGACCGGAAACCATTTTTGGGGACAATATTTTCTTCAAATTCTCAAAGTTTAATAAATTCGGCCTACACCCTTTCAATGCTTTTGTAGTAACAACATTAAGCTTGACCTATACACCAAATGCCAACAGTCAATGAGTTTTAACTTTAGTAGGGTATGTTCTAGTTCCTCTCTAAAAAAAACTCGATTCCCAGCCAACATGTATTATTTATCAACTATCGAACATGAAGGTACAAATGTACTTTATGATAATGTTTCGGCCTCTATTTTTTTAATTATATAAGAAATCAATTTAATAACTCATATTACGAAAAATAAACCACCCCACCGATAATTTATGTTCCTCTTTAACCCGTAAAGGTGATGCGAACTAATTTTAATACAAAAACAGAGCTTCTACCAATGGGCCTCTTCTGAAGTTGATGCCGTCTCCGTTGGTAAAACCCTTGTGACGGACTCCGGGTTTAGAGGCTTTTATGAGCGAAACTCCCTGTCGAAAATAGAACGAAGTTTTTTTATGCCAATACACACTAAATGATTTTGGAGCACTAAAAAATTCTTCAATTTCAATGTAAAATCTGCGACGCCCATGAATACTAAATATATCTTATCTGTTTCAGTGGCAGTATCTGCCCTTAGCGGACAATGTGCCTTCTCAGTCTTGTGTCTATCTGATGCGTGTTTACACGGGAATCCGATCATCTAGAAAAATGACAGCTGTGCCATATTTTATTCTCAGAGGGAAGAAAGGAATCACGGATATACGAATTCTGGACGACAAAATTAGACATGTAAGTTTTACCAAAAACAAAAAAAAATGTTTAGGGCTGTCTTTACTATATGACATAGTTACAACAAATTTAGGATAGAAAATAAAGAAATTGAACATAGAATAAGCAGTTAGGGTTAGTTTCGTCAAAATGCTTCTTTTATATGCCGTGTTCATACAGGACATTGGTGATCATGGCTCGCCACAATGTCTTGACCTTTGTAGCTCTAATAAATTTTATCTTTCTGCTATATTCCATAAACCTTGTGCCGTCACCCATTCACTCAAACTCACTAGGTATGTCATGCGCTGTTTTCCTCCCTGGCCTTCTATGAGTATCAAATTTTTCTTTCTTGCCTTCTGTGGGTATCAAATTTTCCAAGTCCTCTTTCCTCATTATGCGTCCTTGAAATTTCAGCTGTCTCTTCTTGGTGGTAGGTATTCTTTTTGGTTCCATTTGCTCTAAATCTTCGTCATTGCTCACACGTTCGGCACATGGGATTCTCGGCATTATTCTGTGCTACAAGTCTCTTATTCATCTATTCACTGCCATATAAAGGGACTGATACTACGTGACGATTCAGTATTGTACCTAACAAAATGTTCCTGTTTCTTGCTTAGCTTTTGGAAGGCACCTTTCGCTATCCTAATGCGCCTTCAGATTTCAGTGCCGCACATTTTGTCTTCTGTTAAAACACTTCCCAGATATTTAAATTATTTTATTTGTTTGAGTTTGGTATCTCCAATTTATAATTTGCATTTTGGGCCAAAATACCTAATTACTCTAATCAAATTGAGACTTTCATATGGATGCCAGTCATGGTTTCCAACTCGTTCAGAAATGTATAAACAAAATAAAATCTATATACAAAAGTTTTCTCAGATCAATGATTAAAATGGCTTCAAGCAAATAAAACTTTCAGGTCTTAAAGAAAACAAGAGAGAGCAGCGAGAGGCTTGCGAAGTTTTTTTTTTTTTTGTGGGAAAGGTTTTATAGAATGGAAAATAATTCATCACCCACAAGACCGCGTAGACGCTTTTGAATTCTATCGAGACAGGAAAGGTGGGGACAAGAGAAAACAACGCATGGCATACCTGGCGAACTTAAGCAAGTAGATGACAGAACGTGGTCTGGGGGAGGTAACAGAGGGAAGAGCTACATGGGATAGAAGGCGGTGGAGAGCCATAATCGCCTACGCCCTGAAAAGACATGGCACATAAAAAGAAAGAAAGAATTCATTTTTGGTCTGATCTGGCTTTTGTAAATGTAGAGTAAAGCAGAAGTAATCACCATGTGAATTATCCTTCCTAAAGTTGCCGCCGCGAATTCTTGTAGAGATATGTGAACAGATTACAGTCCTGTTATGATTTTTAAAGGATTATAATGTGAAATGCTTTTTTGCTCTCTTGTTTAAGAATTTACGCCATGGAACAGTTTCCGATTTCATTCTACGAACTGATGGACACCTAGGAAATCTGCTGTCTCTGAAAATTTGGCACAACAACGAAGGATCTTGTCCAAAGTGGTTTCTTTCCCATATTGAGATCAAGGATACCAAAGACAACAAATGGTAAACGTATCACTTTTTCTTTTTTATTCATACCTCGCACTTTCGGGCATGAAATATTTTAAACTTAAAAAAATACAGATATTTATTCAAACACACATACCCACAAATATAACATTCCAAATAATAATTTGAAAAAATATCGGATTTATTTAAACAAAAAAAATAATTGTTTAAAAATTACTTTCGGGTAAGAAAATAACGTTAGTATATATAGACTTCGAAAGGACGTAACGAGACATATGCATTTCTGAAATAGGGTAATTGAGATTTGCATTATCACGATGGCTTCCTGTGGTCTAATTGGAAAGATACAGTTGATATCAACTGATGGAAAGGGAGAATATGGATTCGGCTTTTGTTGGGAGACAATTGTCTATAGGAAAAAAATGTCAGTATCTCAAAGCCGATTGACATTGATTTCACTGTTCACAAATCAGTAATGTCTAATCAAACACATGTGCTCATTAGATATAAAGTTTACAGTAATAAGAAATATGAACGTGTGTACGTAGAGAAATAGCATTAACTACGTGTGCTTGTGTTTGTGTTTGTGTGTCTGTTTGCATTGATAGATATTTATAAAATCTGGTATAGGGCAACAGAAAGATTGTGCTGCGTCAAGTTCCCAAAGTGAAGAGAGCCTACCTAGCTAACTTTAATTCTACATGTCAAATCGTGATTTTAACCAGAATCGAATGCGAGCCAATTGTGCTAATGGGCATCGCGTAACTTTCCTAGCAACCAAGGAGGGTTGTCTTCTGTTAAGATTAACAGAACAAACTAAATGATTGTATTTTCACGTAACTTTATTTGAACATGTATGTTTAGAATTTATATTAACGTAACCCGGAACGACTTTTGGTGATTCGATTAAAACGTTGCCAAGCATTACAAAAGTGATGTCAGCTCGTTTATTTGTCAATCTCACTATTAAAAAAAAACCCCAAAAAACAGCCGGTTACTCTCGATATCTAATTATTTGGCAGGAAGTGATTTTTTTTATGGATATGTGATTGATGGTTTCGTTTTCTACGGCTTATCAACCCTTTGTCGGTTATTAAAGCTAGAAAATATTTTTAGAATGTAAGAATTTTCTTTATTGGAGATAATAATGATTTAGTGATACAAGTCTTACTAATTAACCTATAGCTGGAGGATAAGAGGTGGATACATACGTTTTCCAAGTGTATGTTCTCATAAGCCCAACGGGAACTGGAACTCTGCTTTCCGATTAATAATTCCGAGCCATTATCCATAACACCATCTACATATCCAAGCTTACAGCACCTGACATTCTCAAACGGTCACCTATCTAGGTACTGACCAGACTCGATGTTGCTTAACTTCGGTTATCGTATGGGAACCGGTGTTTCGACATGATGTGGCTGTAATCTCTATGGATATAGTTACACTACAACCAGTATTTTTTCCCCAGAATTTAATTCTATACTACTGATTTTTGTTGAATCGTCAAATGCTTAAGTACTTTTTTCATGTTATATAAAACCTTAAATTCATTGCATTTTACGATAATCAGAATCTTTTTTTTTTTTTTTTACTTTTGTTGACATTTTATTTTCTAATAGAAATCAACTCTTGAAAACTGGTTTTTATTTTAATCATTTTAATACTTCTACTGTTTTAACATAACTGGCAGGGTGATCGTTCGTGATTGGAAATCTTTAATATGTCTCTCATGCTGTACATCATGGCATTAAAGAGTTAGGGTCACTTGAAACCCCGAATTCCTGCGATGACCCTCGATGGAACTAAGCAGTATCTGGAAACACTTCTGCGATGACCGTCAATGGAACTAGGCAACATCTGGAAACACTTCTGCGATGACCGTCGATGGAACTAGGCAACATCTGGAAACACTTCTGCGATGACCGTCAATGGAACTAGGCAACATCTGGAAACACTTCTGCGATGACCGTCGATGGAACTAGGCAACATCTGGAAACACTTCTGCGATGACTGTCGATGGAACTAGGCAATATCTGGAAACACTTCTGCGATGACCGTCGATGGAACTAGGCAACATCTGGAAACACTTCTGCGATGACCGTCGATGGAACTAGGCAACATCTAGAAACACTTCTACGATGACTGTCGATGGAACTAGGCAATATCTGGAAACACTTCTGCGATGACTGTCGATGGAACTAGGCAATATCTGGAAACACTTCTGCGATGACCGTCGATGGAACTAGGCAACATCTGGAAACACTTCTGCGATGACTGTCGATGGAACCAACATCTGGAAACACTTCGCGATGACTGTCGATGAACTAGGCAACATCTGGAAACACTTCTGCGATGACTGTCGATGGAACTAGGCAACATCTGGAAACACTTCTGCGATGACTGTCGATGGAACTAGGCAACATCTGGAAACACTTCTGCGATGACCGTCGATGGAACTAGGCAACATCTGGAAACACTTCTGCGATGACTGTCGATGGAACTAGGCAATATCTGGAAACACTTCTGAGATGACCGTCGATGGAACTAGGCAACATCTGGAAACACTTCTGAGATGACCGTCGATGGAACTAGGCAACATCTGGAAACACTTCTCATCCGAAAGTATTAGGACCTCACATAAAAAAAAATCTCGTATCGGATTTTGACATGTGGGCGGGCAAATAGATGCTACTGTAAGTAAGTCGTTCCTCCAATACGACAAAAAAATATAAAATCATATTGATTTTGCTGAAATTTTTTCACAGTCTTTTTTTCATGTTTACTTCTTACAGGTATTCGTTCCCGTGTCACGACTGGTTCTCTTTCGATAAAGGCGACGGATCCATCATTCGACAATTAGAGCCTCATTCAAATCGATGCGACAATTTATTCGATAATCTAAAATCGCGGATCTTCATCGATTTGTTTGATGACCACCTTTATGTTTCGGTCGTGAAGCGCCCGCGTTCAAGTCCCTTCACTCGAGTTCAAAGGTTATCAACTATCGTCGCTGTCTTGTACCTGTCTCTTGTCAGTAGCGCCATGTACTACAAACCCACCGACAAGATCCCGTCAAGAGCTCTCACCTTGGGACCCTTCACTCTTACTTCCAAAGAGATTGTTGTCGGACTAATTAGTTCCGTCATTATGGTCTTACCAACATCAATCATCATCAATTTGTTTAAATGGCGTAAGGTTAATAGTGAAGAGTCAGATAGCTGTGGAAGCTCACTGACTCTCGCTGAGCGACTGAAACGTTTTCGTCTGCCTTGGTGGTCAATGTCCTTGGCTTATCTTCTTATTTTTCTCAGTATCAGTATTTCTGCCTACTTCACGTTCATGTATTCCATCGTGTGGGGAAAGGAACTAGCATTGAAATGGTTACTCTCCATTGCCATCAATGTCGTTCTTTCGATCCTTCTCATTCAACCGGTAAAAGTAAGTAAATTGCAGATTAATTTGGTAGGATAGACTGATATTTTATGAGAAAATATTTTATGGTTTAAGAAAATGTAGCATCTATTTTATATGCATGTTAAGTTGTAATAAATTATGTGATAGAATTTATTGAGTATGTTTTTACGTTCTAAATAAACATTCGGCTCGGTCTACAACAGTGTTTCCGATTAATAATTCCAAAATTTTCAATATTTCTTTGTTTTTTTTTTCATTTTCTATCATTCTGTTTTCATTTCTTTTCTTTCTTTTTTCATTTTTTCTTATTCTGTTTTCATTTCTTTTCATTTTCTTTCATTCTATTTTCATTTGTCTTTCTTTTTTCATTTTCTTTCATTCTGTTTTCATTTTCTTTCATTCTATTTTTCTTTTTCTTTCTTTTTTCATTTACTTTCAAATATGTTTTCATTTTTCTTTCTCTTTCATTTTCTGTTTTTATTTTTCTTACTTACATTACATTCTTACATTTTCTTTCATTTTTCTTTTTTCATTTACTTTCATTCTATTTTCATTTTTCTTTCTTTTTTCGTTTTCTTTCAGTCTTTTTTCAATTATCTTTCTTTTTCAATATCTTTCATTCCATTTTCATTTTTCTTTTTCCATTTTCTTTCATTCTATTTTCATTTTTCTTTCTTTTTTAATTTTCTTTCATTCTGTTTTCAGTTTTCTTTCTTTCTCGTTTTTTTTCTTACATTTCTTTTTCCCGTTTTTTCATTCTTTCTTTTTTTTCCATTTATCTTACTTTATTCATTCTTCAGTTATTTTTCCCCCAATTTTGTTTTCTTTTATACCTTATGGCTAATTCATTTTCAATTTTTCTTTTTCTTTCCACTTTCGTATATTCATTTTAAAATTTAACCCATGTAAATACCTTACTGTATTCTCGTCTTTAAACGTGATAAAGTCGACATGGCCACAAAACCCTACACGTGATACAATTGTCATATAGATGTTGGTTAGAATCAAGAAAAGAATTGGAATAATAATCTCATCCAAAGCCATGCAGTCTCGCATTCCGTAACTCTATTAAACGCAAGAATTTCTCTCTCTTTCATTTATCTTTCGCTGTGACGTTTTTTTTTTTTTGTTTTTTTTTAATTTATTTACAGATAGGATTTGTTGCGTTGCTCGCTTCCTACTTTTTCCAAACCCCAACGCTTGACGATGAAGACAACGCTGGAATTTCAGACTTCGTGGAATGCACAGGTTTCCCGTTTTTCATTCTTCTATTCGTTGGCATCAATAATTATGTTTTACTTTAACACCAGGCTTACGTCTATGTCACGTTGAAACACCGGTTCTCGTACGATCAACGAAGTTAAGCAACGTCGAGCCCGGTCAGTATCTAGATGGGTGGCTATCAGGTATTGTAAGCTTGGATGTGCAGGTATTGCAATGGATAATGATAATTATTAATTAGAAAGCCGAGTTCCAATTCCAGTCGGGTTCGGTCTATTCACTTACGCGAAAATAATCTTAGGAAATGTATGACACCACTTCTTCTCCCCGTAGATATGGATTAATTAGTAGCACTTGTATCAGTATTATCTCAAAAAACATTCTTGCAATCTAAAAATATTTTCTGCCTTTAAATAACTTGCAAAAGGTTGATA